ATCTCTTGGGAAGCCAGAGCTGTTGACAAAAAGCAGTGCAATTATTGGCACTGGGTTGTACAAAGGTTACACCATAGAAACTTAACATTCCCCATAAGAAATGAAGGTGTTAAAATATAAGATAAGATAATGAAAGAAAGCAGCATGAGTTCCCTAAGTTCAAATCAGGTAGACAAGCATTTTGCAGAATTAACCTTATTAAAGAGACATTGTCACTTTAAAAATTAATCTAAACCCAAAACAATTATAGCAATCAGTGAAGATAAAAATTACCTATTAAACATAATTAATTCCAAAAAAGTGTCAACTCTTTTACTTCCATCTTTATGTTTTTCTGTAGTAGACTGCCAGGTCCATATATGTATTTTCACTTCTGTTTACAATAGATTGACTTTGACTATTGCTAGTCTGTACCAGAACATCAAGTCATTCACTCTTGGTATTAATTATTCTTCATTAGGTTTAGTATGTATATTCTACTTTATAACAAATTAATAATAATACTGAGGTCAGAGAAATGAAACATAAACTTAGGGTAGGAAATCTCCACTCACTTCATAGAAGCACTTCCAGCTCAATCACAGAAGAACAATGTTTTGTGTACATCTTCTCCAAGATGTTTTTCACCACATGGGACCTTTTTTATTAAAAAAGCCTCCAAAAATTTAAAATGAAATCTTTTAAATAAAAGCTTGACAGAATGAGGAACATGTCTTGCATGCTAATCCAGTATCTGTATTTTTGATATCTCAAGCCTGAAATACAGCAAGGAGAATAAAATGTCTTTTAAAATCTTATTCTTTCTAAAGGGAACTATGCAGGCTTCATGATATTATCTATGACACTGATTTTTGTTTCAACCTCTATTAAGAAATGTAGCAAAGAACTTCATTACTCAAATTAATTAGACTTCAGTGAATGCATTCATGAGGAAACTACAGCACACAACATGAACAACAGGATCATAATATGACACCGCAGAAAATCTGGTGAATAATTTCTTACCCCACTGCACACAGTTGCAGAAGTCCAGATGCATATGGATACTGACTCTGTTTTAATCTCTGGGCACCAAGGACCTTGACAGTTTTTAACATTCCATTAAATTCCCATTTAATCTTAAAAGGACCAAAGTATCTTAAAATAAGTGTCTCAGTCTTTATATGGCACTAGCATTTTGCCCCCTACAAATGCACACCTCTACTTTGACAAGCACTGCGTGGTCCTTCACGAGGGATCTCACCATGGGCAGAAAGGTGGGTTAATAATAATGCCAAGGAGCTTGTGCACAACTGAGCCTCCTGAAAATCCTAAACCCTGAGCACAAGGGATGTGCTGTCCAGTGGGTACAGGCTGCAGGCTAACATTATTAAATTACACATTGAAACAATGAAACACAAAGCTACAGTTTATTAGTCCAGCACGGAGAATAATTGCTTCAATAAAATACACTATAGCCAGTAAGTCAGTTTTTACTATGTGGATTAAAGCATCCTTGCCCAAAGACAGTTATTTTTGCTTGCTCTTTGCATGGTTTGGCTCCTCGGCCAATGGCTTCAGGTTGAGGGGACACAACAGTGCAGTGGAGATGGGAGTATATCGTCCAATTGCCAGGGACAAGAGGAGAAGCAATGAACTTCCAGGGGAACACAATTATTTGAGAGTTCTTCACTTCCAGTACTTTAAACTTCAGTCAAATGCATTATCTAGCCAGGTAGAAACCAACAGGAAGTATTGCTAAACAAGTGATGCATTTCCTTGAAATGCAATAAGCTTGATACTAGCCCCCTTACCAGATATTTCTTTCAATTTAGCTATATCTGTTTAAAACAGAAGTTCAGTGAGACTATAAAGTCTCCCTTTTTTATGTTAATTCAGTGAGAATGAAGAATGACTTGGACCATGTGGATAATGTTTCAAATTCTGAAGAATCTTGCCTTACGTTATTAATTTTATTGATGACAGTGAAGCCAAATGGGCTTAATTTAAATGGCTTTTCCAGCACACATATTCCTTGGAAGACTTCAACTGTGAAATAAGGATGCTACTACCTATGGCACACACAAAAAAACTGCACACAAAACAGCTGGCCCTCCTATGCCTCTCAATAACTCAAAGCTGAACTAAGTAAACTATTCACTGCAGTGGTTATTTCCTAGCTAGTACTTCTCTCACAAGGCACAAGAGATGTTAACAGCTGGACATTTCTTTGAATCTGTACTGCACGATATGGAAGTGACTCATAGCACGGCATGACTCTGCCTGCTACAACAGTTACAGTCACTGAGCTGCTTCAAATTTGTGATGAGGTGTGAGAGAGTCACAAATCAGCTTTCTAGCATTACACATACAGATTATATATTAAGGATAATAAATTGATACTGCAATCAATATTCAGATGTTGCATTGTGTTATTGTAACTGATTAAAGCTGTTGGCCACAATGTCTCATCTGTGACGAGTACTGTCATTTCCCTTTTATATTATAACAGTGTAGAGTCTGGGCTTGCAAAGAACTCTTGGAAGAGACTCACATTCAAGAGAAGATACTTAAGCTTTCAAGTGCTCCTTGCAGCCATGAGCACAGCCCAGGTTATCCTAATGTTTTTTTCTTGCATAGGACCAAACCTCTTTCTGAAACACCTGAGGCTCCTCCTATACAGCTCTGACCTGCCTCCAGGGCAGCACAGACCCTACTCTTTACCTATCCATGCCTTGGGGATGATATACTGGACACATTAAAACACAGCAACTGAAATCCCACAACCTTGACAGACTCATCCTTCTGTGACAGCAAAGACTTCTATGGAAAAACTGAAGAATGCAATCAAAAAATAATTAGAATTATCAGTTTAATTACTGCATTCATTTTCTAATGCTAATACTGATAGGAAACACTAATTGTTGTTTACTGTGGGATGAATATTTAAACTTGACACAGAAGTGGGGGAAAAAACTGGTTTATTCCACTTGGAATAGATGTCAACTGCAGACACACAAACTTTATAACATTTTAATTTTTAAAATGACATGGTATCCTATTAATACAAAGACACAGAAGATCTGTATATGAAAAATTATAGAATATATGATCATGGTACCCTCAGAGAACAGCACTCAAATACAGTTTTAAAAAAAATCAAAACAAGTTTGAATATCATGAAATATTAACAAATACATGTGGTTCTTTTAATTCGCATTTTCCTGCTCTTCTTTTTAGGGTTTATACTTACAGGCTTCTTTCATTCAACCAGAAAGGTTTAAAAATTAACTCTTTTTGAAATGTAAAAAGATATTCTCATCAATTTAGGGAAATTCAGGAATAAGAACTTCAAAAAAACCCACCCAAATTGTGACAATTGGCAGCACTG